GCCTTGGCAGCAGCCAGAGCCTCTCCTCTCTGGGAGGGCTCAGCTCTTTCGGGAGCTGATTCCTTGGAGTTTCTCTATGTCCTTGCCTTTGGTGGGTTGTAAAACTATCTGTGCCTTCGTGGCTGTTTTGGGGGTTTATCTGAGTCATTTTAATTCATGTGATGAGAGCAGTGGTCCCCGGTGACTTTGTGTGTTTGAATCAGAGTGGAAGGAACCTCTGTTGTCACATGCACACATGCGCACACACACACGCAGTCCCATAGACACACACTGTGACACATACGCACACACTCACACACACTGGAAATTGTATTACAGAAGGGAAAGGAAGACACACATCTCGATGGAAACAACTCCTCTCAAATTCACGATGTTTCGTGAACACGGCTGGTCGCCAACCCGCTGTGGATACGGGGCATAGACGAGAAGGGGCCCTTTGGAGATGATTCTGAGGCGGGAGCTGCCTCTCGGTGATCATTCTGTTACCTTGACTACTCTCAGTAGCCTAATGACATAGCTCATGAAAGAAACTGATTTTTAGAATGTCTGTTTTTAACTGTGTTGTTTAGAAGCGAATACGCACACACATAGAAATGAAAGCAGATGTGTAAACAGGAGGATACATATGTGGACATGACTCCGCAGGCAACAGAGAGAGAGGAGCCGGAATCTCGGGTGGCAGGGCTGCTGGGACGTCGGTGTAGCTCCAACGAGACTTCCAGGACCAAAGGACAGCGACTCCGGCGAGCAGGCGAAGGGAGAGCAGGCCTTCCAACCTCGACAGCTAGACGACAAACACCCCAATGTACGTGCACAAAACATTGGAATCGTGTTCCCAAGGAGGATGTGTTAGCGGGCACTGCCGTGTGAAAAGATCTCAACATCCCTGGTCATGACAGAAAAGAAATTCAAACAGTTTCTCCAGCTTTGCCTCCTCCGTGGCGGTCTATTGGTGGAATCGCGTAAGATGGATCTTTCGTGCCAGGCTGCTTTCACTGGGGACAGCTTGTCTGCGGTCCATCCGTCTTGTGACATGATCAGTGTTTTATTCTTTCTTTGCTGATAGCGTGCCCTTGTATGCACCGACCTGACGTGTGCATCGGTCACCAGCTGGCGGACACTGGCGACCCCTCCACCGTCTGGCCTCCGTGAATCTGCTGCTGTGAACACGGGTGTCCAGACCCCTGTGGGGTCGTAGGCTTTCACTTCTCCTGGGTAGATGCCAGGAGTGAAACGATGGGCCACATGGGAAATTTACATTGAACTTTTTAAGAAACCGCACAACGATTCTTCAGATTGAATGGAGCATTACTCACCAGCGACGCGTGAGGGTTTGCGTTTCTCCGTTTCTCCACGTCCCTGCCAGCGTTTGCCATCGTGGCCCTCGGGGTTGCAGCCGTTGTAGCGGGGAGACACAGGTGCCTTGTTTAAATTTTCATTTTGGTGACGACAGGGACGTTGAGTGTCTTTCCATGCGGCGGTGCCCACTCGCATATTCTCTTTAGGACAATGTCTATTCAAATACTTTGACCATTTCATTTTGTTTTCTTCAGACAGGGTCTTGCTCCGTCACCCAGGCTGGAGTGCAATGGCAGGTGTTGGTCCCCTGCAGCCTCCGCCTCCTGGCTCAAGCGATCCTCTCACCTCAGCTGGGACTGCAGGTGTGAGCCCCCGTGCCTGGCCGATTTTGTCCATGTTGAGTTGGGGTGTCTGCCATCTAGTCGTGAGCGTGAGAGGTCCGTTCTTCCTTCCTCAGCTCTCCAGTGTCCCCGTTCTCTCCTGGAACTCTCAGTGAACCCACGTCCACCGTGACACGTCATCCTCCCCACGAGAGATTCTGTCTCCTTCTCTCTCTCTTGTCGTCTGGGTCATGCGGACGTATGTATCTTCCAGTTTACCAAAGCTGTATTTATTTGTAACTAAACAACACTTTAATGCACACATGGACATTTTATAAATAAGTTTAATTATCTTTTAATAATTTTTTTTAACTTTTATTTTAGGTTCAGGAGTACACACACAGGTTTGTTACAGAAGTCAACTCGTGAGACCAGGGTTTGCTGTACAGACTGTCTCATGACCCAAGAACTCAGTCAAGTACCCAATAGCTATTTTGTCTGCTCCCCTCCTTCCTCCCTCCCCACCCTCAGGTAGGCCCCAGTGTGTGCTGTTCCCCTCTACGTGTCCGTGTGTTCTCATCATTTAGCTCACACTTAGAAGTGAGAAAGTGCGGTATTTGGTTTTCTATTCCTGCATTAGTTTGTAAGGATGATGGTCATAGAGGGCCTCTAGCTCTGTCCGTGTCCCTGTAAATGACATGATCTAGTTCTTTTTCGTGGCTGCAGAGTATTCCATGGTGTATGTGCACCACGTTTTCTTTATCCCATGTGTCATTCATGGGCATTGACGTTGATTCCATGTCTTTGCTGTTATCAATAGCACTGCAGTGACTTTGTGAATGGGCCTCATGCCCTGAACTCTGTTTAGCTCATTTCTTGGGCTTCATAGTTGTGTTGAGCTTTTTTGTCATATGCTTGTTGGCTGTACGTATGTCTTCTTTTGAGGTGTCTATTCATGCCCTTTGCCCACTTGGTAATGGGGCTGTTTGTTTCACTCTTAGGAATTTGTTTCAATTCTTTATAGATATTGGGTATTAGACATCTGTCAGGTGCATGGTTTACAAATACGTTCTCCCATTCTGGAGGTTGTCTGCTTACTCTGTTGATAGTATTTTTGCTGTGCAGAAGCTGTTGAGTTTAATCAGGTTCCTCTTGTCAATTTTTGGTTTTGTTTAAAAAAAATTAAAAAAGCAACATGTCTTCATCGGTGTCTTCATCATGAAATATTTGCCTGTTCCTATGTCCAGGATGGCATTACTGTGGTTGTATCCCAGGTGTTTTATAGTTTTGGCTTTTATATTTAAGTCTTTAATCCATCTTGCATTGATTTTTATGTATGGTGTAGGGAAGGGGTCTAGTTTCAATCTTCTGCCTATGCATACGGCTACCCAGTTATACCAGTACCATTTATTGAATAGGAAGTTTTTTTCCTATTGCTTGTTTTTCTCAGCTTTGTCAAAGTTCAGATGGTCATAAGTGTGTGGCCTTATTTCCTGCCTCTCTGTTGTGTTCCGTTGGTCTATGTGCCTGTTTTGGTACCAGTACCATGCTGTTTTGGTTACTGTAGCCCTGTAGTATAGTTTGAAGTCAGGTAGCATGATGCCTCCAGCTTTATTGTTTCTAGTCAGTGTTGCTTTGGCTATTCCGGCTCTTTTTTGCTTCCATGTGAATTTTAAAATAGCTTTTTCAAGTTCTGTGAAGAATGTCAGTAATAGTTTGATAGGGCTAGCATTGAATCTATAAATTGCTTTGGGTGGTATGGCCATTTTAAGAATATTGATTCTTCCCATTCATAAATATTGAATGTCTTTCCACTTGTTTCTGTCATCTCTGAATTCTTTGAGCAGTGTTTTATAATGCTCATTATAAACAAACATTTTAAAAATCAATTTCTCTTAGTCAGAAGCAGCTCCCACCCCAGATGATCACCACCAAAGGGGCCCTTCTCATCTACACTCTGGGTATGTGGCTGGTTGGCAACCTGCTGTGTTCACGAAATATCTTGATTTTGAGAGGTGTGACTTCCTAAGAGATGTGTGTGTTCCTTTTCTCTTCTGTAATACAATTTCTAGTGTGTGTGTGTGTGTCTGTGCAATGAGGTGTGTGCGAAACAATGGAGTTTCCGTTCTGATTCAAAAACAGAAAGTCACCAGAGACCATTGCTCTCACCACATGAATTAAAATGAGCCAGATAAACCCGAAAGCATCCACAAAGGCACAGATAGTTTTACAACCCACCAGAGGCAAGGACATAGAGAAACTCCAAGGAATCAGCTCCCGAGAGAGCTCAGCCCTCCCAGAGAGGAGAGGCTCTGGCTGCTGCCAAGGCCTGCTGGGATGGGGAGGGAGGGGCAGACTGCACCGAGGCAGGGAGGGGCCTGCTGGACACGGGAGGAAAAGCGAAGCCATGCCCGAGGGCTGGCACCTCAGACGAGATTCCCAGATTTCTGGATTCCTGGTCCACGACCACCCGCCACCTCCTCCCCAAGGCTCTGTTTTGAGGGTTTCAGCAGGAAGTGCCTCAATCTGGGGCAGGGCAGGCAGTGGGCCAGAGCCACGGGAGGGCGTGAGGCTCCTGCCCGGGTTGGAGCCAGGTGCTGCCCTCTGGAGATGAGCGGGGCAGAAGAGCTGAGGACCTCCCCACAAGGCATCTGTGGTCAACCAAGAAAGTCGGAGAGGAAGCAGCGCTGGGAGGAGCCCCAGACCTTCCATGCCTTTAAGGAGGATTGAAAGATCAGAGTTGCAGTAAGCAGGGGCAGAGAGGAGAAGGAGAGAAAAGGCAACTCCCAGTGCCCATTCGCCTGGCAGAGGGGCCAGGACAGAGCCCTGGGGAGCACGAGTCAGTGACAGCAGTGCCCTGAAGGGAACAGAAAACAGCGACAGAAGCCTGGGGTCCAAGGAAAAGGGAAGGAGTAAACCAGGCTCTACTCATTCCTGGGGGTCCTCAGAGGGGAGGACTTGGGCCCTCAGGGTTCAGAGACGAAAACTATGTAGGAGAAGGAAGTGGGTCACAAGGCAACACAGTATTGTTGTCATTTTAAATGACACAAGAGACGAAAAAGTTTCCTGGGGAAAGTACTTTAGCAGGAACTAGGAAGGGCCCCTGTGGCCCACCTGACCCCTGGACAGGAATATAAAGAGCCTGGGCTCAGGGGGCTCCACACCTGCACCTCGCTCTCTCCTGCTCCTCTACCTGCTCTACCCTCTATCCACCAGAAACATGGGCTGTTGTGGCTGCTCCGGAAGCTGTGGCTCCAGCTGTGGGGGCTGTGGCTCTGGCTGTGGGGGCTGTGGCTCCGGCTGTGGGGGCTGTGGCTCTGGCTGTGGGGGCTGTGGCTCCAGCTGCTGTGTGCCCATCTGCTGCTGCAAGCCCGTGTACTGCTGTGTGCCAGCCTGTTCCTGCTCCAGCTGTGGCTCTTGTGGGGGCTGCAAGGGGGGCTGTGGCTCCTGTGGGGGATCCAAGGGGGGCTGTGGCTCTTGTGGAGGATCCAAGGGGGGCTGTGGCTCCTATGGGGGATCCAAGGGAGGCTGTGGCTCTTGTGGCTGCTGCCAGTCCAGCTGCTGTAAGCCCTGCTGTTCCTCAGGCTGTGGGTCATCCTGCTGCCAGTCCAGCTGTTGTAAGCCCTGCTGTTCCTCAGGCTGTGGGTCATCCTGCTGCCAGTCCAGCTGCTGCAAGCCCTGCTGTTCCCAGTCTAGCTGCGGCAAGCCCTGCTGCTGTTCCTCAGGCTGTGGGTCATCCTGCTGCCAGTCCAGCTGCTGCAAGCCCTGCTGCTCGCAGTCCAGCTGCTGCAAGCCCTGCTGTTCCCAGTCCGGCTGCTGCAAGCCCTGCTGTTCCCAGTCCAGCTGCTGCAAGCCCTGCTGTTCCCAGTCCAGCTGCTGTGTCCCCGTGTGCTGCCAATGCAAGATCTGAAGCTCTAGAGGGGTTTCTCAGGTAGCTCCTGAAGATCTGTTCTTCCCAACAGGTGACTACTCCTGACGCATATCCTCTTCCAGAGTTGAGCAATGAGTCCCCTGGCTCAGGGCTTCTTTTTCCAGCTCTTGAGGATGGAATGTCCCACTCCCTGCCCATTCCCTATAAGGGTATCCCATGACCCAGGCACTCTTGCCCCTCCTTCCCACATGCCACGATGTGTCTCAGCCGGACTGCACCTGGACATGACCCTCATGTCAAGGAGGCACCTGGAATTCCCCTTCCTGATAATTCCATGGGAGAGAGCAAACCCTTCTTTCCTGTGTCTGCCAGGAGTTCCATGGCACTTGCAGATGGATGTCCTGTAACCAGAATGATCACGCCTATCTATGGAAACCTAAAATGGATCTGGGGGCAGCACTAAATAAACTCTCTCCCCACTCAGCCTCGGTCTCACTGACTCTTTTCTTCCAGCCTCTGTCTCATTGGCAAACTGGCCACGTGTCCTTCCCCTCCCTCCCTGATAGCTTATTCCTCCCACTGCGGTGACTGTTTGCCATGCCCAGATCCCATTCCCCCCAGAAACAGTTGTTGAACTGGTTAATGAAGGAATCACTAGTGTCCTGGATGAATGAATGAGGATGAGTGAATGAATGAGTGAATGAGTGAGCATGTCTCATTAGTACACAGGGAGCCGCAGCTCATCTCAATGGGGCTCAGTCTGTCTTGGTTGGAATCGTGGACTCCTGGTTCTTCCCCATAGGAGGCTATGTTTACAGGCAAAAAGATCTTTGCCCTCAGTGTCTAGGAAGGGGTATAATGGGTGGTCGCTGTGCCCAGCCAGGGCCCAGGTGGGGGTCAAGCCGGGAGAGGGGGAAGCGAGACCACAATGAGCTGTGTCCCTGAGGTGCTGTGTAGGACAGCACTGGAAACTGTGCTGCTCCAGGGACCCGAGACGCTGTGGGCGAGCACAGGCTGCGGTGCACCCTCTGTCTCTGGGCTCAGAGTGAGGAGGAATTCAGGTGCCCTCTGACAATTCACAGGCTGCACAGCTTTGGTGTGGCATGGGGAGGAACAGGAGGACTATTCTCAGTCTGATAAAGGACATCTACCCACAGCAAACAACACACTTAGTGGTGAAGACCTGAATGTTTCCCCCTAAGATCAGGAGCAAGGAAAGGATGCCCACACTCAACATTTCTATGCTACATTTCACTGAAGCTCTAGCCAAATACTATAATGAGAAATGGAAATAAAAGTGATCCAGGTTAAAAAAAACGAAGCCCCCAACTGACCCCAGTGTGTAGTGCTCCTCTCCCTGTATCCATGTATTCTCATTGTTCAACACCCGCCTATGAGTGAGAACATGCGGTGTTTGATCTTCTGCTCTTCCGTCAGTTTGCTGAGAATGATGGTTTTCAGGTTCATCCATGTCCCTACAAAGGACACAAACTCATCATTTTTGATGGCTGCATAATATTCCATGGTGTATATGTGCCACATTTTCCCTGTCCAGTCTGGTGGGGAGTTGGGGAGAGATAGCAAGGGGAGAGATGCCAGATGTAGGTGATGGGGAGGAAGGCAGCAAATCACACTGCCATGTGTGTGCCTATGCAACAATCTTGCATGTTCTTCACATGTGCCCCAAAACCTAAAATGCAATAAAATAAATAAATGGGAAAAAAGGGAAGCAAAACTTTCTCTATTTACGCAAAACCTCATCTGATATGTAGACAGTCCTAAGGGACACACACACACACACACACACACACCAACAACTATTATGCCCAATAAATGAGCTCAACAGAGTGCAGGCCACAAGGCCCATACACAAAGTCAGCTGTGTTTCTATAACCAGCAATGAACAATCCAAGCAGGATGTAACAAAAGAATTCCTTCAAAAATGATATTACTTTTAGGAACAAATGCAAGCAAAGCAGTGCAAGGCTTGGACCCTTAACACCACAAACATAACTGGACCAAAGTCAATGTGGGAAATTCCCATGTTCACGTACTCGAAGATCTAATATTGTGAAGGTCAAAACACTCCAGAAAAACATTCATCTACGAATTCAATGAAATTCCTATCCACATCCCAGGTTTCTTTTTGCAAACATTGACAAGCTGATTCTAAAATTTATGTCAACATTCAAGAGAACTTAAACAGCTAAAACAACCTTGAAAAAGGTAAAACAAAGTTGAGGACTCAACGTTTTCCAATTTCTAAATGATCTACAAAGCAAACAGTAATCAAGGCTTATGGTGCCTGTCTAAGGATAGAAAGATGGATCA